ATTTTACTTCTTTGTAATATCATCTCTTTGAAAAAATTCTTTTAAAGCGCCTCAACAAGAAGCGCCTATTAAAATAATAATTTTTTACTCAATTTAATTATTAATTATGCTTGAATGTGATACATACTGAGTGTTTTCAAATAACACAGCTTTTCTATTTTCTAAACTATTCTAGACTAGTGTCGCTCTCTGTGAATAAAAAGTGAAACATCTAAAGTAATAAAAAGTTTTACTTATGCCGATGAATTGTCTACATTGATAACAAAATAAAAGAGCTTAAACTACATAAACTTTCAAACTATAAAATACTAATATTTATCCTTTATCTAGGTATTAATATTAAACAAACTCTTTTTTGAAAATGTATTAGTATTGAAGACTCACGTTAGATGGCAGCACCAAAACTTTTTATTTTAAATATATAGTATAGTATAATCAGCATCTACGATGATGATAATCACGATAAAACAATAATTTCACTGCACAAAAAAATATATAATAATGAAAAATATTGGAAAAAGTTAATTGCGGTATTTTCAAAGTTACTAAAGCAATTAAAGAGCAGGAATGTTTTTAGTAAAATTATTACTAATATGCCATGCAAGCAAACGGATTCGCTTCTCAATCGGTTCAAAACCTTTTTTTTTTACTTAGGACTTTGAAATGAGAAAAAAACGTACTTGTACTTAACTATCTTTTATTGAGTATGAATTGCACAAGAACTATATGATTAATACATTATAATAGACAGTTATAATTACTGAAAAATGAATAAAAACATCACATATAATAATACTTAATCGAGATTACATTTAATTAAATAAGTTGCAAGCTGAACAAGTTTCCATTGGCAAGATGCACACTTTTAAATTATAACTTATATGGAGCAAAAAATTATAATCAAATGTGACTGTTATTACATTTACATCAAAAAATTAAATTTTATTAGTTACAAAAAATTAACTACGAAATGTACAAGAAAACCACACTTGATTAAAATTTTAACAACTAAAGCAGTCTTAGGTACAGATATTTTTTTGTGATATATAAATAGTGTAGTACCATATTACTAAATAAATAATATATGAAGAAAACCTTTTGAGATTCAAAGGAACATTGTATTAAAGTCATAAAAATTAAAGTCTAAATCAAATAACAATAGTTTCTTATACACAATTAATACAACAAACGTTAATTATTTTTAAAATCAATCATTCATATGAAAAAAACTACAATCGCTGCACGCCATCAAAACTACAATAAAAAAACAAATATTTCTTAAACTTAAAAACAAACAAAAAATAGAAATACTGATGTTTAAGCAATTTTCAAATTTGCTTTTTAAGTAAATATGCAATTTCAATCATTGGTCTATTTTTTCCGATTAATCTGCTCTTTCCAATTGAAACAGAAATTTTAGTTTACTTATTAATGTTTCTATAAAACTAATCATTTTTGAAAATACGAAAAATAAATTTTTACATCAATGAAACGGTTTTCTGTAACCCTTAAAAAGAAATTGAGAACAATTATACTATCAAAATGTTTCTTGGTATTACTATAAAAGAATGATTAAAACTTTTTGTTTTCAAAAAATCTATTTTTTCATTCTAAAATCCCTTAAAAAACAGATTTGCATATCACTTCCCTTAAAATTGAAAAAACGAGTAGTATTTTCTTTCTTGTATACTGTTATACTACAATTTTTACACTGATGGCCAATAAAAAATATCACAGAATAATTTGGAATCCTAAAGTACAAATTCGCGTTAAATTCAATACTCCTCATCTTGATAGTTATACTGACTAGAAATATTTGTCGTTGAAACTTAGTTTTTAACTGTAAGAAAACTATTAGATAGCAACAGAATAAAGCTGCAAAATTTTTAATTATACTTATGAAAACTAAATATTTCTGCATGTGATTGTATATATTATCATTATTATAAAAACGTAGGATGAAATGAACATGTTTCTTCTACTGAAATAATTCATTTCATAATTTATGGGTATTAATTTCAAACTGAACAATAAAAACTATTCACAATCTAAAACATACAAACTGAAAAACTAATGTCCAATTAAATTACTGCAATAAAAGAAAATAAATAAGAAATTAATAGTTAGTCGATTAATAAAATAAATCGAGTCATGTAGTGCTTCAATTTAAATTAAAATAAAAAAAAAATGATTCCACTTGGACAAACTAAAAAAGTAAAATCCAATAAAATCACCGGAAAAAAAAAGATAAGAAATAATGTTAAATAATAAAAAAAAAATCGATTCATGAAGTGCTTCACTTTAAATTAAATTAACTTAAATACAAAGAAAACTGGTTCTACTGATGCAGTACGGTTTTCGATACAGAGATTATAAAATTGTACTTATATATAGTACAAGCATATGTATTTGTAGGATGAAAATTAGGTTTCCTCAAAACGGTGTTTATCCTCATTCTTCCATGAACTTACTTGAATATGAGGAGGTGGTAAAAAACTTCGTAATGACTGAATTAGTTGAATTGTATCCATTAATGCTAAATTAAGCAAAAACCGTAATTTTAACAAAAAAAAAAATAATTGCTTCAGGGTTTTTAATAGTTTACTTACTTTTCTGCAATGCTTCAGATTGTTTTCCATAGGGTTTGCACATTGCTGGACGAACATATGTCTTCATTCTTTGCATATTTTTCATTACCTCAGCAAATGCTCTAACAATTTTCTCTTGTCCTACTTCACTACCTGATGATGACCGTTTTTCGTCATTTCCAGAATTTACGTTAGAATTCGACCACGCTCCATTGTGTAACGCCAATAAATCTTTATTTGCTGATGAGAAACCTAAACATAAAAATAAATTTGTTTGATTGTTTAAATGTTTTATTATTTTGAGTTTGATTATTAATTATTGTATTAGATGCATTTGAAGTTTGTCTGAATAAATTATACTAGATGATAATTATATAAGTACGAGACCAATTCACAGGGAATGCCTACTGTTTAGCATAATGGGGTTTATACTTAATATATTACTTTTGTATTTGGTTAAGTAAAAACTCTATAACGATTACATACTGATAATTTAATGAACTAATAAAATAATTACAAACCTTCAAGATTATCTAAATTAGCTCTTAAAAAATCACTCAGTTTGGGGTCAACAGGTGGTAATTCATAATGCTGTTTCTGCTGGTTCTTTGCCATATCAATGTGCTGTTGGAGCTGCATTTGTTGTCTCTGTTTCTCAAGATTTGCATTCAATTTATCTAAATTTTGTTGTGCAATGACCCTATTTTGTTGTTGAATCAAAGCTGCTGTCAATTGTTGTTGACTTGGAGCTACAGATTTTGGTCTCTCAATGCTACCTTTATCTAAATTATTTGGACCAGCCATATCAACAGATCCCATACCCATATGTGAATTTAAATTTGGAGGTGGAATGGGCATGGGAAATTCAGGAGAAAAATTGGCATTGCGCAAATCGGCGCTGTTGTTCTGAGACTCAGGTAAATATGTAGGAGCACCTGCCAAATGTTGCATTGTCTTTTGAGTTAACTCCATCTGGTTTTTGTAATAACGGCAGGCAGGATTTGGACAATTCTGAACAACTTCTATTATAAACTCCTTTTCCATACCAAAGTTTTCTCTTCCTATAGTATAAGATTCCATCACAGCTCTCACTGTTGCCTCCAAACCTAAATGTAAACCATGAGGGCCATTCATATGCTTCAGCATTACTGCATTTGCAAAGTGTTCAAAAGGCAGAATTATCTTTCCATTTTCTCTTAAAATTAACCTTCCTTGAGAATCTAGTGTTACACGGGATGACATCATTCTATAAGAAACATTTCCTATATAATTCCCTACCATTATTGGTTTTCAGGCACTTAATTATTTAACAAATTTTGAAGAGATTAAATAATGTTAAATTGTTATTGCATTTTAATGTAAATTAAGTATTTCATTTATGCTGTAACACAAAGTTGGCTCAATATATAATTCATTACATAATTTTAACATTTTGTTAGTTGTAGCTTACTGTAAATATGCAGCACTGGGAAGCATCGAAGATTCTTTTAGTTCTGTGAAACATTGAAGCAATTCAACAGAAGGGTTCCAGCCCTTATTTTGCAAATAAAGTTGTAAAAGCATGTATAACTTTTCTGTAACATATCCTGCACTAGCAGCAAAACCCACACTTGTTGATGTTGGTAAATCATTAACTGATGCTTGTTGAATGCCTTTCGCTAAAACGTTTTTCATGGTTTCTGCTAAATCCATTATGATTTCACCCCTCTGGTACTTAAACAGGTCAACTTTTTTACAATATAGATATTGCACTTCACTTGCTTTTCAAATGCTTAGTTGTTTACTTCATATACTTCCAAGAAAAACTTTAATACAGCTACATAATTTTCATCATATTATATTTAATAAGAATCATTTAAAAGCCATTCCATTCTAAAATGCTAAAATATTTCAAGAAAAAAGTAAAAACCACTTCCACTGTTTTTTATAAAATCTATGAAATATTATACCATAGATAATAGATCTACAAAGGGTATAGCCTAGAACCATAAATAAGAAAACATTACCGATATAAAATGTCTACATATTCGACATACGATATAATATTTTTCACGAAACAATTTGTATACAATACTATACATATTTAAAACATTCACTTATTCATAAACTAAAATTTTATTCTTAATGCGGCTGTATATTTCAATAGGACCCACTGAACTGAGGGTGTAGCCTAGCCTTTCCAGCGCGGAAAACAGCTTTATTTGTTAAAAGGACCAGGAAAAGCCCCAAGGGGAAGGGCGAACTTCAACCTACCGTAACCTAACCTTTTCTACCTAGCGTAGCACAACCTAGGTTAGGCGAGACTCTTTGCTGTTAAAATGAGTCAAATACCAACTTCCTTTCCAATCGCGGGAGTTCAAAAGGTCTTGATGTACGCTTTTCATTCAACTCCATTCAATGCTTTTTATACGGAAGATTAGACTTAAATAATTCAATTCATTCAACTTAATGTTCTAATAAAATTGTGAACATAAAAATGTAAAAAATTTCTGTTGAATGATGACTTGATGCCAAATATCAAACGGGCTGAAATGAACTTTTTGTTTTCTTTCCATAGATTATAAGTATTATATATATCTCTAATAAATGGTTGTTTCATTCTGTTTGATTCAGTTGTATTAATCTATGGTTACATTAATGGTTCCATGATGGTTTGTTCATAATCTGTTCGGTGTTATGGTTTTATACCGGCGTTGTTTTATTACAAAAAATATGTCTTCAAATGTAGATAAAGTTAAAGTAAATTAAATGATAGTTTTAATTTGTGTGAATATATGCATTATCTTCATAAAGTTCTTAAATCGTGACTGCACAGAAAAATGGCCGCATTAAACGGGTAGTTCATTTTTGATCGGATTTTTCCTACTTTAATTACGGAGTTGGAAGCTCATCGAATCTAAAAGTAAGACTTTTTGTGTAAATATTAAATAAATGTAATAGTATTTGATTCTATTTTGAGGCTGTTTTTTCTTACTCACATTTTAATTTTTTAACCTCATTGTTTGCTTTATTTTTATATTGTTTATTTTAATCTAATGCCATTGTGAGGATGTTGGTGTATAATATACAACCCCTAAACATTTTTGCGTGTCTGTTTCTCCTGAAACTAGTGCATCATGGTATCTCCTGCACCTACAAAAACTGTACGTGCCGGTCGTAAAGCGATGCTATATTAAAGGGTAAAACGCATCGTTGGTATGTACTTAATAAATTGTTACATTACCTGGTTTACATTACCCAACATTCTTTATTACCTTCTTTAAACTCAAATATTTGTTTACAGCAAAAGCATTAAAACTTCCTAATATCTAATATTTTAATAGTATAAACAAACGTTACTTTCTATTCGGTCATTTAGAAAAAATATAAGATTATATTAATTGCCATAAAAATAATTATAGATTATTATCATTATTTCAGATATTTGAGTCATGTATCTTTACAACTTAACACTTCAAAGGGCTACTGCCATTACCCATGCAGTGCATGGAAACTTTTCTGGCACAAAACAACAAGAAATTGTTATTTCAAGGGGCAAAAGTTTAGAATTGCTGCGTCCTGACCCAAACACTGGCAAAGTACACACATTACTAGCTTTGGAAATTTTTGGAATAATTAGATCTCTTATGGCCTTTCGATTAACTGGAGGCACTAAAGATTATATAGTTGTGGGATCTGATTCTGGGCGAATAGTTATTTTAGAATACATTCCTGCTAAAAATGCTTTTGAAAAGGTACATCAAGAAACATTTGGTAAATCGGGATGTCGCCGGATTGTACCAGGACAATATTTAGCCATTGATCCTAAAGGCCGTGCTGTCATGATTGGAGCAGTTGAAAAACAAAAATTGGTATACATTTTAAATAGAGATACTGAAGCAAGACTGACTATTTCTTCACCTCTCGAAGCTCATAAAAGCAACACATTGGTATATCATATGGTTGGGATTGATGTGGGCTATGAAAATCCTATGTTTGCATGTTTAGAAATTGATTATGAGGAAGCAGATTCTGATCCAACTGGAGAAGCTGCTCAGAAAACGCAACAAACACTGACATTCTATGAATTGGACTTAGGGGTCAACCATGTTGTGAGAAAATACTCGGAGCCTCTTGAAGAGCATGCAAACTTCTTGGTGTCTGTACCAGGTGGCAATGATGGCCCTTCTGGGGTATTAATTTGCTCAGAAAATTATCTTACTTATAAGAATTTAGGGGATCAGCATGATATAAGGTGTCCAATTCCAAGAAGGAGGAATGACCTTGATGATCCTGAAAGGGGAATGATTTTTGTTTGCTCTGCTACTCATAAGACTAAGTCTATGTTTTTTTTCTTGGCACAAACCGAACAAGGTGATATATTTAAAATAACTCTGGAAACTGCAGATGATATGGTCACAGAGATTAAACTGAAGTACTTCGATACTGTACCAGTTGCAACTTCTATGTGTGTATTAAAAACTGGTTTTTTGTTTGTTGCTTCTGAATTTGGAAATCAGTAAGTTGGCATTTAAAGAATTCACGTAATTAAATATTACACAATTTTTTTTAGTTATTTATATCAAATTGCTCATCTTGGAGATGATGACGATGAATTGGAATTTAGTTCTGCTATGCCTTTAGAGGAAGGTGATACATTTTTCTTTGCTCCAAGACCATTAAGAAATTTAGTTCTGGTGGATGAAATGGAATCTTTGTCTCCCATTTTGTCCTGTAGGGTAGCTGATTTAGCAGGTGAAGATACACCTCAGTTATACATGTTATGTGGAAGAGGCCCCAGATCTTCTCTCAGGGTTTTAAGACATGGTTTAGAAGTATCTGAAATGGCTGTATCTGAACTACCAGGAAATCCTAATGCTGTCTGGACTGTTAAAAGGCGAAGTGATGGTGAGTTGAGTTCTTTGTTTTGTAATGTTACTTACTTTTATTTTTTGAGTGCTTTACTTTTGTGTTGTAAAATTTAAATTACACAAATTAAAAAAAATAATTTTAAGTAAACTCACTTTTCTATTTTTTTTTACTCTTATTAAAGTAAGGCTACTTACATTGAGAAATTGTTTGATAACAATTTTTTAACTAAGCCTGGTGGTTGAATAAAAATAATCAAACACCAGTTGCTTTTAATTTTTCAGGAATTTCCCTGTTATGAACTCTCTGAGCCTTGTTGAGGTAAGTTGTAGTTGAACTTTTGTTTTATAACTAAGTGTTAAGCATATAATTATATATTTTATCAACTTAGATATCTGAAGAAAGTAAAGCATATGAGAAATATTTATTTTTTTAATCTAAAGGTTAAATTAATTTTGAACGGAATTGTTGCAAGTGTAAAATTTGTAAGTACCTTTCTCCATTTTAATTTCTTTCTTTTATGATATGATGACTTTTATCCGTGTTTCAACTGAAAAATATTGATTAAAACATCCCGTCTGACAAAAAGTAGTTTGATAAACTTAAAAATTATGATTTATTGGTTACAATAGTGTTTTGTATTTTTCGTTTTGTTACAGACGAGTATGATGCCTATATTATCGTATCCTTCGTAAATGCCACCTTAGTGTTGTCTATCGGAGAAACCGTTGAGGAAGTTACTGACAGCGGTTTTTTGGGTACAACTCCAACCCTTGCGTGTGCTGCTTTAAGTGATGATGCTTTAGTACAGGTATACTGTTAATTTATTATACAATAAAAAATAAAGAGTAGCGAATCTCATAAAAAAAATATTTAGTTTAGGAACTGTAAACGAATAGGTCATTTCGTTATTACTTTTTTGTTCATAGCATTTCTAGAAAATCCCATTTTCATTCTTGTTGGAAATTTAGAGAAGGATTAACTTGAGTGACAAAGAATAAACACTTTAATTTTTTTTAACGTTCAGGCCATATCTTCATGCATTTTTAATCAAAATATATATTATTAATGTAAGGGAATGGCCTAAAGCATTATTAACATGATCATAGTGCCAATGAAAATACCAGATTTTTCAGTGGATCTCCTAATCACGTTACAAAAGCAAAAAATAAAATTACTGTAATATTATTGTTCAAATTTCACTATTAAATTACAACATTCTTTTGGTGTATTAAAAGATAAGATATTAAACCTTTTTTCTTTTTATAAGGTATACCTTAATGGTATTCGACACATTTGTTCTGATAAACGTGTGAACGAATGGAAAGCTCCTGGAAAAAAGACCATCGTTAAATGTGCAGTAAATCAAAGGCAGGTTGTTATAGCACTGTCTGGAGGAGAACTGGTGTATTTCGAAATGGACCCTGTAAGTTTTTTCTTCCTACAATTTTGGTTGTATATGCATAGGCATAACAACTGGATGTTGTCTACACAATACATCCAGATTTAATACTATGCAAAACTAAATTTTCTTGTCGCCTCCGCTGCACATCTGTTGTGTAATGGAGTGAATCAAGAAAAAACAATATTTTTTTTTATCTGAAACAAAGTGCGTACTTTTTGGCCAGTGGTACATTGGTACCTATAACAGACACTTCCACATAAATATAATTACTTTGTTTTAAAAACCGGAAAAATAGTGAAATTTCAAGATCATTTACAAATATAGTTCTAGTTAGTACAGAATTGAAAATAGAATATTTGTAAAATACATACATGAAAACACATCCAAAGTCAATACTCTTATAAATTTTCACATCATTCACATAAAGCAACAATTCAGAAAATTCAAACGTATGAAATGCATTGTTTATAAATTATCCAAAGAGTAAAGGAGCCAGATGAGAGCCTTGAGAAGCAGAGGTAGGTAGCAGTAATGGAAGAAAATTGAGTACTTGTCACCTTGTTTCTACAATATTTTGAAGACAGAGTTTAACAACAGTATTACGTAATTTCAAAGTGATATATGTATTAACCATGTATTGATTTATTAAGTTTTAATTCTTATAATATTTTCAAAAAGGAAAAGGTAAACATTTTTTTAACGAGTTTATATTTCCCCCTTTAGACCGGTCAACTCCATGAATATAAGGACCGTAAACGTATGAATTCAGACGTAGTGTGTATGGCCCTCGCGAATGTGCCTCCCGGTGAACAACGTTCGTGGTTCCTCGCTGTCGGTCTAGCCGATAACACAGTTCGTATAATTTCGCTCGATCCTAGTGACTGTCTTGCCCCGCGATCAATGCAGGCTCTCCCTGTTTGCGCAGAATCACTGTGCATTGTGGAAATGGGATGTACTGAACGTAATCCAGAAGATGCGGCAGCTGCAAGCACTACCAGCACTCTGTACTTAAATATAGGATTACAAAACGGTGCCCTTCTTAGAACTGTACTCGATCCTGTTTCGGGCGATTTAACTGATACAAGAACTCGGTATCTGGGTTCACGACCTGTTAAATTGTTTCGGATTAGGATGCAGGACTCTGAAGCAGTATTAGCTATGAGCAGTCGTTCGTGGCTTAGTTACTATTATCAAAGTCGTTTCTACCTAACCCCATTGTCTTATGAAAGTCTGGAATATGCATCAGGGTTTAGTTCGGAACAATGTCCTGAAGGTAAGAGTTAGTGTAATTATATCGCACTAATTAAAAATTAGGCCATATTACTGCATTGTTGATGTCGTCAAATCATCAGTGTAAGTGCATGGCCAATAATAAATGACATGACCATAGTACCAAGAATGTCTATTTATGATATTCTTGGGTCTCCCATTCATGCTACAGTTGTTTCTTTTATATTATTTTTGTTTGACTTTGTTAAGATTCATTTTAATTAAAATAATTTTCTCTCAGGTATCGTTGCTATTTCTACAAATACGCTTCGTATATTGGCTCTAGAAAAATTAGGGGCGGTATTCAATCAAGTATCTTTTCCATTGGAGTATACACCAAGAAAATTCGTAATTCATCCGGAAACATCGAATCTAATTATTTTGGAGACAGAACATAATGCATACACCGAAGAAACGAAAAAACAACGTCGTCTTCAAATGGCACAGGAGATGAGAGAAGCGGCTGGTGAAGAAGAACAAGAGCTCGCGAGAGAGATGGCCGAAGCATTTTTAAACGAAGATTTACCTGAGAGTATCTTCTCTGCACCTAAAGCTGGTCATGGAATGTGGGCATCAACATTAAGAGTTATGGATCCTGTCCAGGTATTAACTGCAATAGTTTGAGTTTTAAGATAATTGCTTATTGGCATAGCATTGACAACCAGTTGCTTCATTTAAATAGCCACTGGATGTATCGCTATGCTAAATTGTACTTTTCTGTATGTTTTTATCATGATAATTTTCCATGATGAAAGAAAATAGAAAAGAACATTGTTTTTTGAAAATATTTGTTATGTGCTTTTAATGTACTTCACGTATAACTTAACAATCGTTGAGTTTTTGGGTTAGACTAATTTATTTTTGCATTTTTAAAGGGCTCCACTTACAAAATTCTTCGCTTGGAACAAAATGAAGCAGCAATGTCTCTAACATTGCTCAAATTCAATTCTCAACCGGAACATCAATGGTTTTTAGTCGTGGGAATTGCTAGAGACCTCCAATTAAACCCCCGCGTTTGTACAACTGGATTCCTTGATACATACAGGGTCGACACACTTTGTAGAGAGTTTGAACTAGTTCATAGGACACCGATCGATGAGATTCCTTATGCGCTTTGCCCTTACAATGGGCGACTATTAGCCGGTGTTGGGCGTATGCTGAGACTTTATGATCTGGGTAAAAAGAAACTTCTAAGAAAATGTGAAAACAAGGTGAGTTTGTATATATTTGAGTTTTAAATTCTAGGATCATGTAGCTGTATCATAAGTAACAAACAAATAATTATTCATATAAGGAATAAGCGGTTAAAACTTTGTCAATATAGTAATGATTTATTTTATAGAAATTTTTTTTATATTTTTTTAAATATTTAAGGCTATTTATCTTGCACATTACTTATATGAGGATAACAACATGCACTTAAAACTTTGAAGAAATCCTGCAGTTCTGATTGTCATAAAATAAAAACAAAAACAAGTTGAATTGGGTAAAAACCTTTACTAAACTATTTCTATCTTTATTTTTAGCATATCCCTAACTTAATAGTCGACATACAAGCGATGGGTCGTCGTATATTTGTTTCGGACGTGCAGGAGTCAATACATTTTGTAAGATATAAAAAACACGAAAATCAGCTCATAATTTTCGCAGACGATACACATCCTAGATGGGTGACGTGTTCGTCTGTTTTGGATTATGAAACGTGTGCGGTAGCCGATAAATTTGGCAACATCGGTATTCTTAGATTACCGCCCAACACGTCCGACGACGTGGACGAAGACCCAACGGGAAACAAAGCATTGTGGGATCGGGGTAAGTAACTGTATGATTATTTGTATTAAGATATAAACTAATTTTATGGAAGTAAATTTTAATACATTATTAAATTTAAAAACAACTGAAAAATTTTAAGTTTATTTTAAGTATTGCAATATTGATCAGGTGATATCCTGAAAATGCTCAAAATAGTGTAAAGGTCTAGATACGATAACTGCATAAAAATGCTCACCAAGTAGTGAGTTTATTAAGTTATCCGAAAATTTTTATTTTATTAACTTGTTTATTTATTTGTAGCATTTTTGTTAGTTGTTTTGTATTTGCTCATTATCATTGATTATTTTAAATTGAGCTAATGAAGGTACCGGTCAATTTATCATTATATAGTTTAAGTAAAATGGGGGCAATTTTTATACGCTTATTGTCGTTTGAGTGCGAGGTAACGCGTCTGATTAACTGGCAATTAGGTTTTTCGGATTTCTAGTAGTTCTCGCTAAAGTAAATGACATATTCTTTGCTGGTTTAATTAATTTCCCTATTTAAATCAGTCACAAGCCTGTCGTACAGTGGAGGTGATAATTTGATCGTTATAGTTTTGATGAAATTTTTAACTAAAGTAAAACACTGTTTTGCATTAGGTTTATTAAACGGTGCATCTCAAAAGGCAGAAACATCGTCCACATTCCATATTGGTGAGATGGCAACATGGCTTCAGAAAGCTACCTTAATCCCCGGCGGTTGGGAATCTTTACTTTACACTACAATGTCTGGTACTGTAGGAGTATTGGTGCCGTTTACATCTCATGAAGATCACGACTTCTTCCAGCACCTTGAAATGCATATGCGAAGTGAAAATCCTCCGCTTTGTGGCAGGGATCATTTATCTTTCAGAAGTTATTACTACCCAGTTAAAGTAAATATTTTACTTACATTAGAAATTTTATTTACGTTATGTTAATATTTGTATGATGATATTAGATTCACATGCTAGACTTATGAAATGTCATTGATTTGAAATTGCTTTTCTGACTTACTTAATTGTACTTTTTTAAAACTTATTTTTACTTAAAAAATGTTCTTGTATTTATTTTTTCTTCTCTTTTCCCAGAATGTTATCGATGGAGATCTTTGCGAACAATACAATTCTTTAGATCCTGCCAAACAGAAGAGTATTGCAATCGACTTGGAAAGGACTCCAGCTGAAGTGTCAAAAAAACTGGAGGACATACGAACGCGTTACGCGTTTTAAATTTTTAATGCAACTCACTGGTATGTATTTCTTTAAATACAAGTTGTTCATTGTATTAAATATTAATTTGTCAAATATTTGCAATTAGAAAATAAGGATTTTTGTAGAATAAACAAAATACGATAGTTACGTGATACATTTATTTGTCATTTCATAATCTGCTCAACATTAATGAAAAATATTGTGAATATTTACACGTAATACAACAGAATACTTTTATATGCATGGCTATGCATTTAAACATGCATATTACATTTATAACAATGTGCCTAGTTTTTTTTTTGTTTCGTGAACAAGAAATACTTAGCAAGTGTATATTACGTAAAATTATTTACATTGCGTTAACCTAGTAACAGGTGAGATGAAATTAATGTTTAATTAAATGTCAAAGTAATAACAGATCTAAAACGAATTATATTCTTTATACACCAAAAAACGTAAATGATTATAATATGAAAAGTTATTAATTTACAAAACCAAATAATGAACTACAAAAATTTCATTGTCATTTCTACATTTAAATGTGCACATTGAATGTTTACTTGGAAGGATTCCTTCTAATCCTCTAATACTTCTATGACTACTTAACATTGATACTATATAGTCACGATTTAAATAAGGAAAGGGATAAAAAAAAACAAATGCGTCCTTCGTTTCAGGAAGGAGATAAATGTTACATGATGGGGCAGTTTTCATAAATAGACCGCTTCTGTTCTACTTCCTTTTCACAAATCCTCTATTGAAAAAATCATTACTACACACAATGTAACTATCGCAAATAGTAATCGGTAAATAAATTATATTCGTATTTGCTAATAATCTATGCTACAATTAAATCATGCTTTTCGGGGAGGTGGGGGTGGAGGTGCATACGGAAACCCACTTGGGGGAGGATAATACATTCCTTGCATTCTAGGAGGATGAGTCATTTGTACAGACTGCACAGGAGGTGGAGGTGGGGGTACTGAAAAAAAATTAGTGGGTACTCCTCCGTTTTGAACAGAATAAGTAGTTTGGGTAGGTAAAGGGGGCGGTGGACGATTCTGATAATCTTTAGGGACAGGAGGAGGGGGTAAATGCGTTTGAACATGTGCTTGCGTCATTACGTGATGTTTAGGAGGAGGCTGTTGCTGAACCGATATTGACTGAGGTGCCGCTGAATGATGTATTTGATGCCCCATTGCTGGTTGAGGTGGAGGAGCATGCGTTGATATGGATGGCCTTTGTTGTTGTGGCGGCTGCGATTGAGTAGAAGGCTGTTGTAACGGCCTTTGAGTGGGTGTGGATGGTGGAGGTCGTGATATCAAATTACTTGACAAAGATGCTGAAGGTACAATTGCTGGCTTTGGAGGTGGACTTACACTTCGACTATCACTGCGTGATCGTTTTCTTCTGTAACGATCTCTAGAACGACTGCGATCTCTTCGGGAACTTCTTCGAGGTGAACGAGACCTAGAACGGGATAATGATCTAGAACGTCTATGAGTTCCACGTCCTCGACCCCATCGACTCCTCCCTAAAAAAACAATATTTAATATACAGTTGCATTAAAGTGCAGTGCAGTGCTTACCTCTTGTACTGTTACCGTTACTACTCCACGACCGATTGTCGGCCATTTCTTGTAATTTGGGATTAATAACTTGTTTTGCCTCCTTCAAAACTTCCAGCAAATCGGATGCTTTGTTGGCATTTATAGGTGTAAAGAAGGTGTAAGCGGTTCCGGTTCTTTGTGAACGACCGGTACGTCCGATTCTGTGAACGTAATCTTCGGAGTTTGAAGGATAATCGAAATTGATTACAAATTTGACATCTTCCACATCTGCAATATTTTTCTCATTAATGGGTGCTCGATATGATTTTAATTATAATAGAAAAACAATAGTTATACTTTATTATTATTATAAATTGAAAAACTTGGGTAAAAACAAAATAAAATAAACAAATGAAATACTGCATTTCTAGAAAATCCCATTTTCATTCTTGTTGGAAATTTAGAGAAGGATTAACTTGAGTGACAAAGAATAAACACTTTAATTTTTTTTAACGTTCAGGCCATATCTTCATGCATTTTTAATCAAAATATATATTATTAATGTAAGGGAATGGCCTAAAGCATTATTAACATGATCATAGTGCCAATGAAAATACCAGATTTTTCAGTGGATCTCCTAATCACGTTACAAAAGCAAAAAATAAAATTACTGTAATATTATTGTTCAAANTATATGAAATAATCACTTGCTTACGGTTTGTCATACATTGAAACCATTTTTTAGAAAAATTATTAGAGCATAAAAGACTTGAATGAGTCAAGAACAATATGGAAATGAATTAATAACGCGTAGTTTCTAATATTCAATTCATATAACATTTTTATAAAGGAATTATTTTTGTTTTAAATTTTTTTTCCATACCAAAACGAACTATGGCCACGGCACGTGTGAGAAGTAACCCCTTATAGAACCGTGAGAGGTCTAACCAGAGGGCGGGTCACAGTCATGCGACCGAGAGATATTGAAGTGAAAAGTCTTTACGTGTGGTGCGAATGAGTGAGATAGAAGTGAGCACCTGGGCGGAGCCAACGTCCAGCCCGCACTGTTGCTGCTATCGACTGGTCGGCACAATACATACAGACCCCCCCTGCGGTGATATGCGTGAGTCCGTTCCTTACAGACCCCCGCACAATGAGTTAGGAGGTGTCCTTTACAGACCCCCGCACAGTGAATTAGGAGGTGTAGTAGGAGGCTGCGCACTATGCCCACGGCCAAGCCAGTCCACATCGCGTTCCCAGATTGGCCCGATGTCTGGGCAGCGCAGCAATGTGTCCCTGCGATCGAGAGAGCGCCTCGACGCCCACCACTCACGGCCAGGTTGTTTAATTAGCCAGCAGTTTTTTTAAGACCTCGGACTGACTCCCAACATGGCCGGCGGCGGGAACGACAGGTGGTTGCGCTCATTCGTTTGTTCGTTCTCGTCTCGGTGGCGAGAGAGAGGCACAGCCACAATGACATACATGCTTGTCATTTACTCGCTTGTGCCTCTGGAAAAAGATATCACAGGAGTATCGAGTAACTGTCAAACTCAATTTTCAACAGGCATTTGCATTATAATACTTATGTATTTTGTTCCCTGAACATCATTATCGACAAGCTAATGTTTTATTTTTACGCCGCAAATCAGTATATAAGACGTTTATTAGTTTTAGTTTTTAAAAGAATACTATTATTGTCATAAGATCATTAGCCTGCCAAGAAGTATGTAAAAGAACACGACTTTTTTTCAAAATTTAATAATAAAAAATGTTAAAATGCAAAACAAAAAGGTGTTGTAGAGTAACAAAAATTTCAACAAACAAAAATCACTCACCTAAACCTCTCGCAGCGACATCTGTTGCCACTAGAATTGGAGCTTTTCCAGACCTAAAATCTAAAGGAAAATATTAGGTATGAAACATTCACTGAACAAATATATCATACCTTGTAATACCCAATCTCGTTCCTGTTGTGATTTATCTCCATGAATACATACGGCTGGCCACCTAAGCAAAAACGAGAAACTAATTTTTTTCACCATTTCAATTAATCTATCATTTATGAGCATATTTCTCAAATTAATGGTGACTTACCCATCCCTCTTCATTTTCCTTGTTATCTCATCTACCTTTCTCTTGGTTTCAATAAAAATAATAGTCTTATTTTCTTTCTCAGCCATAATTTCCTTCAGTAATGTGCTCAACTTTGCTTCTTTTTCGTATTCTTGACAAACATCAATTATTTGCAAAATATTATGATTTGCAGACAGTTGTAAAGATCCAACATTAATTTGAACATAATCTTTTAAAAACTCTGCTGCCAAAGACTGAACTTCTTTAGGCCATGTGGCTGACCACATTAATGTTTGCCTATCTGGCCTTATTTGCTCAATTATCTTTCTTATTTGAGGTTCAAAACCCATATCTAACATTCTATCAGCCTCATCCAGTACCAAGTAAGTGCATCTTCTTAAATTGGTACGATGGGTTTCTAAGAAGTCAATAAGACGTCCTGGAGTTGCTATGACTATTTCTACTCCATCAATTAAATCATTGGCTTGAGGACCCTTTGGTGCCCCACCAAATACACATGTATTTCTTATTCTGGATGACTGTCCAAACTCTGTTGCAACCTGTTGTATTTGTTGGGCAAGTTCTCTTGTGGGTGCCAAAATTAAAACTATAGGCCCATCCCCTCTAGCCAGTCGTGACTGATTATTTATGTGAACAATAGCTGGTAAAACATACGACAAAGTTTTACCAGATCCTGTTGATGCAATGCCTACCATATCCCTACCTATAAAATTAAATAATGGATTTGTAAATATACTGCTCTAGAAATACTTCATTCTAAAAATTTTATTAAAAATTAGTATTCATGGTTTCTATAGAAAAAATATAGGAAACATACCTGATAAAGCAATTGGCCAACCTTGAGACTGAATTGGTGTGGGTGTTTTGAAACCAATTTTTTTAATTTCTGTCATGACATAATCTGGAAAACCAGCTTCTTCAAAAGTAAAAACAGGATTAGGAATTGACCTTCCTTTTAATGAAATTTCTTTATTTTTGCGCCAATCTTCAACGTCGTACGAAGGTCTACTTTCAACGTCGGGATGAGGGACATAAAAGTCTTTTTTAAGGGGTTCCAATCGACCAAGATCCCACCGTGGTTTTTTCAAGCTGGAACCTGCTTGTTTTCTTCGACTACCACCACCCCCGAATCCGCGATCTCTACTTCTAGATCTTCTTCGATCTCTACTCCTAGATCTTCTTAGAATTAAAATGAATCATCACAAAAAATATTAAGGTATAAATAGTTCATTTACCTTCTGTTTGGTCTTCCTCTCATAATTGAACTCGATACACGTAACACTATAAAATCGATTGTATTTGGAACCTTACAGGCAAATTAACGTAGAAACTTATTCTATGATACCAATGTTTACGAAAATAGTAAATTAATTATTTTTATAATAGTAAAATGTTAATAAACTTATACCTTATGAAAAAATGGCTGGATCTCTTGAACCATAGATAAACAATATATATATACAATATACTTCAGTAATTCATTGAACTAGACTACAGATACAGATGTTCCTCTCCACTTCAATGAGTAATATACATATACCTTATCTCTATGGTTGTCTTTGGCTATTTGGACACCACTGATATCCAATTGATGCTAATTCATGCCCGTGGATTAAAGATACATAATTCGTAATAACCTAGGTTCATCTATGATTCATGCCAATTCAGCATTCATTAGCGATTGGCTGAATACACATGCAGTGTATATTACCTAAAATATCAAAGGTTTCCGAAAATTTTTAACCGAAATCTTGTTTATTTTGATGAATTTAATGATAAGAAGTTTTATTACCCATGCGAATAGTTTTTGTATTTTTTTCTGTGAATTGATTGTTATTAATCCAGTCAAGTAATTAGTGATAATATGGTGGTGTGTAATGAAAACATAAAATTGCATTTATTAATAATGTTTTCGGTTTTTCTAAATCTAACAATTTTTACTATTTAATAGGATATTTCTAAAAATAAGAAATATAAATGGCTCAAAGTACAGGTGGAACTTCTTCTCGACGTATAATCCGAGACCATGAAACATCATCAATTTCATCAAGATATGCAGATACAGAATGGGAAGCAAAAGAAGTAAGTATATCCTTGTAAGGAATATTGTTTACATTTTATTTTTTTTTCAAACTAAAAAATATTTATAAGGCTCTACGACAACGTGAGCTAGAAGAAGCAAGGGCTAGAGCTGCACAAATGGAGAAAACTATGAGATGGTGGTCTGATTGTACAGCAAACTGGAGAGAAAAGTGGAGTAAAGTTCGTAATGAGAGAAATAAAGCAAGAGAAGAAGCAAAACTTTTACGGACGAAATTAGAAGCTGCTTTAAAAGATGGTAATTGTTATATCAGAGAAAAACAAGAAATGGAGTTTCAAAATGAGCAATTAAAAAAAGAAATTGAAAAGATACATTTACTTTTATTAAAACATGCTGGACAGTTTGAAAGTCAAATATTAGAAGCTTTAGGAGATGATCCTTTGAAAGACTTTAATTTCAGTATTAATCATGAGCAAACCACTGTTAAAGAAAAAGAGATTCAAGATAGTTCTAATATTACAACACAGCAGGAATGTGATAGTACAGCTACATCTCTATTATGTATAGAGAAAGATTCATGTATAGAAGAGTATATTTTACAAGGAGCAGTGCCTAAATATATTTCTGAGCCCAAAGAAGATGAAGTTACTGATTTTGATAATTTGCCTAATAAAGCATGTGACGAGAAAGATGATAATGAGGAAGATTGTTGGTCTCAAAAAGTTTCTATGCTACAACTTAAGTTAGAAGAAACCACTAAAACTTTACAGGTAGAAAGAGAGTAAGTGCTTGTTTTTTTTTTTTAATTTTTAAATAACAACAATTAAGAAATAACAATTTGGAAGAAGTGTTTGCATGGGTCGTAAATCTGTGTACCACATATCAAATTAATAACTGTAAGAAGTATCAAAAGAAATGTACATATGCCTGTATGCGCAGAAAATTGGAAAGCATAAAAAAAGGTGATAAGAATGCTTTGACTAAAAATATTGAGTGAGACATGCATGGCTGGTTCAATTTCCAGCCATTTCTTTTTTACTTAATTAAAATAATGTTTACAATTTATTTGTTTTAACATTTTATTTTACAACATATAAATGCTGATTTTTGTTATATTTAAAGAGAAAAATCACAACTCCTTCGAAATGTAGAAAAATTATCAAATGAATTGCAAGAAATGAAAGAAAAATGCGAAGAATTGAGACAGTCTAGACAAGATGCCGTCAGAGAATTGTTATCTCTTCAGGATCAGCATCAAGAAGAAATTATATTAATTAAAGCAGATCTACAAGAAGAAGCAGCATCACGAGGAGGAATGGATAGAAGGATAAATGATTTAAGATCTGAGGTAAGTATTTGACAATTTATTGTTTCATCAAATGTATCAAAACAAAATACTTCAATTTTGAAAAAGTATAGGTAATTAAAAAAAACATGTTTTTTGTTATTTCTATTATTAATAGGTATATTTGCTCAGCATCTTAATTTATTCGCTTATTACCTTTAAGTGCTCTTAAAGTTATTTATTTTTTTAATTATAACTGAGAATGTATAAATAGTAGTCTTTTTTTGTTTTGTCTAAATTGTGACGAATGATTTTTTAGCTAGAACGGTTGCAGGCAGAAAATGCTTCTGAATGGGGCAAGAGAGAACGACTTGAGACTGACAAATTATCGTTAGAGCGAGAAAATAAAAAACTTCGGGCTGAATTGCGAGAAATTCAGGAAAGGTTGGAGAAAAAAGAAAGACCATTGTCAAATTCTGACGCAGAATTTCGACAAATACAGCAAGAATTATCTGATAAAAATAAAGTGAGTAGTATGCAATAAGTAGGCTGTGGTCAGATAGGGATATGAACTGCCCCTCCCCTCCCGAGTTGTAAGATATTGTTTTTTTTTTATTTCTATTATAATTAATA